TAGTGTGTGTGTGTGTGTGTATATATATATATATATATATATATATATGAATTATCTTGGTTCGTTTACAGGACACTTTGTGTCGGTACGATTATAATAGAACCGCCTATGTGATTGTGTGGTTGTTTTTTTAATAGTTTCTGCTTAACGTCAACTTTCGAATTTTCCATTGTATCCAATTGCGTATATTTCTATATCGGAATGTGTGCATATATGGATGCTTTCGATACGCAGTATATTTGTATGTATGCACTCATCCATTTATGTGACCTTTACATTGCTGGAAACCTGTACGTCAAGGAACATTCGTTTCAAAAACTCTCATTTAATTCGTTATTTTTTTTTACAGTGATTTGTGTTTAAATCGAGATCAGATATATCTGCACCCGCCGTGACATGTAGCGGCTTAGCAGTAATATATTATATGGAAAAGGTCGTTCGGACACCTGCATGACGATGCTGAGTATGCGAACCGCTCTCTGACAATGTTTAGCTACGTCACTTCGCATTCAGAACTAGATACACATTGGAGAGTAAGTACTACGTTGACATGTACTTTTCAACGTAGATCTCATGTTTGCTGAAGTTTGACACTTTTATTTGTCGATAAAACGGGAAGACGTACATCGAGCTTTGAAAAATCCCAAGTGGCTGGGATATTGGCTGATGTTCTCGCGGTTCGAAAGTTGCATAAATAGTGAGTACGATACTGTGAAAGCATTGGCACGAATCGTCTGTATATGAATATTGACTGTAAGACTCCTGCCCATGAAGTTGAATTCGAACTTTGAACCTAAATTGAACTGATAATCAAGGAGCCTAAATACTAATGTAGTTTAGTCGTTGCGCAAAATGGGATCTGATTGCGAAATGTTAGTATATATATCGCTGAGAGTACGAACACTCTCTGTCACTATGACACATTAACGTGTACCATCCAGTGCCTAGTCCATTCAATCCTATATCGGATTGATCTCTGTTGAATTGGTAGATATTGAGTTAGCGGTTATAAAATATCCCCCAGTCATATAATCCTTATCAGGCTCCTATTGCCACAAAAAGCTAGTTCGATATCTTGTACACTTCACCGAGCATACGAGCATTATTTTGGGATATATCACCTCAATTGACTGGGTTGATAGCTCGTATCACATATTTAAAGAACAAGACATGCTGAGAGGAGTGCATTGAGGGCAGGCGATGAACAATTATGCGACTATGAAGGATAAACCTCCATGCCAAATGTATCAATGTGTAGGCAACTGGTTACGTGCAGGGAGTAGAGAAATAAGGATCCAAAGAGAAGATATATTTGTCAAGTAGAGGCCGCAGGACATGTAAGTGGGTGATACAGCTGAGTAGTAAACTTAAAACTGGGAGCGACGATATGTTTCACTTAGGTGTCCCGGAGAGCGAAAGGGAGGCCCAGCCAAGAAATGGCGAGAGATCCATCACAGAGGGGAGCGAGACAGGCGATGGGCTCTGGAGTGAAAGACAATTTCCGGTAATCAGTGTTGAATAATATAAACAAGATAACCCTTTTTTCGCCATCTTCACTGTCCACATTTCACATTTCGAAGAGTAGGTTGCCACTGATTGTGATCCGAATATTAAAATTAAAATATTATCTTCAAATCTGAATGACAAAATCGAAAATATCGAATTGAATATAATTCAGTAAAATTTAATCCAATCATAATCAAAGTGTTCACAACCTGAGGAGTGGGTTGCCACGGAACTAATCTACATCGAATCGAACTAGGATCATTAAAACATATCCCAATTGGAACCAAGCTACCCAAGGCTCCATGAAGTTCTGCATTTCTGCAAAATACTATATATTTCTATTATTGTTTTGAAAGAAACATACTCATAATAAGTCCGTCACAAACCACAGTCACGACTGATGACTCATGAGGACTCAGGACTCTTGAGTGAACAGACAAGAGCGTGTGCGTGAATAAATACTGACAAGTGATAACTCATAACTCATAGCTGAAACAGAAAACTGAATATATTTTATTGTCGAACATGTACGGAATATTAATGTATTTTAAATAGTATGTCTTATGCAACTAAGTGGGTGCTCCTAGTCTCCTGCATATTCCTAAGCCAATGATGTTGTGCCTATAGCTGACTTGGAACCGTTATATATATTTTTATAAATAGATTGAAGAAATTTCCTAGTGACGGGATATTTATTGAATATAGTGCGCACCATTAAAATGAATAAAGATGCTGATGGCCGTTAGCACCACGAATTTATACTAACATAAGGCCCAATAAGCGGATGTAGCGCAAGTCGCGCCATGGTAGCATGTTTATGAAACGAATTCACGCATAACCCGGTTGTGAATTAGTTGCGTCCGTCCTAGCTGCTTGAGAAAAAGTCGTGCCAAAGTCAGCCGAGATTTCTAAATATCCAGACTACTTTCCTGCACGTATTGAATATATAATGGGGCACAATTTCAGTATTAACATCATTCGCTTTCATTAAGCATTTGTACCACTCACTAAAAAGTTGGTTGCTTCGCAGATCTCGGACAAAAACACCAACAACAAAAAAGTAAAATGTTGACCAATACTCTAACGTACTTCGTGGCCCTTGTCACCTTCCTTGTAGGACGGATGACTGTAGCAGCTCCTGCCTCCGGCGATTACGAGCTTCCCTTGAAAGCTTTGGTACTTGTGACTAAAGCTGAGCTGGCTTCTTATCCGGAGTGGATCTTAGACTCTATGCAGATGCCGTATGACTTGATATACCTGGTCGACGAAGCTGCACATAAACCTAGTCAAGCAGCACAAGACCTCCACAAGAATCTTTATGATGCTGATGGTAATCCTATGTATAGCTCGGTGGTTTTGGAGACTCTCCAGTTAGGATATGTGACCGAAGTAGACGGGGGAGAGGTGTTTCAATCCGCACTGGACGTAACGACTTGGGATGCAATCAATGAGATGTGCAGACAGTATCAGCTTCGCAAAGTGGTGCTAGCATCATCATCATTAGCTGATGAAGCGTTGATTCCATATAAGGGTTTGGAACGTGGGTCATCTGAGGATGCACTAATTGAGTTTTATGACAGCGACTATGCCAAAAGTCTGCTTTTGCATATCAAACATGACTCTCAGTTTGTGGTCGGTCAAGTCAACGAATTTGTGCGTACAATTTACTGGTATTATCCTGCAACACTGGCAAGTGACACTACACATATTAAGCCCTTCATGAAACTCAAGCCCAGCTGCGCCGGTAATAACGAGGCCCGTATTTTGCAGCTGACACAACCCGATATCCCTAGCCTTCCTTGTGAGGAAATAGAGTGGGTAGGAGGTTTCACTATGGAGAAGGACGGTATAGAAGAAATGCACTTCCTTATCAACAGCAATATCTATGGGCATCATGGTTTTGTTGTTTCTGATATATGGTTCACATGGATGACTAGAGGCGTCTGGCCGGGTATGCGACGTGTGCCGTTGAACACCCAAGTTGATGACTTTTTCCTCGCCACTGGAGTGTACAATACAACGCTTGATAGACAGGCGGTTGCCGACGAGCCAGTCTATCGTACCAGTGGTACCGATATTGAGCTACTTGTACAGTGGCAAGATATGTTCAACAAGGCGCTGCCCAAAAATTCACGATATGTCATGGAATTCGCGTTCAATGGGGCCGGCTGGTTCGATTTCGCAGACCTGCCCGACAATTGCAATCCGGTGACCATTGAAAAACGCGATCATTTCTTCTGGGTCTCTCATACGTGGAGACATCTGGACATGTATTGTCCCTTTAGTGATTGTGCCACTTATGGCCTTACAAAATACGAAGATGTTAAATTCGAGCTGGAGAAGAACGAGTGGATGGCTGAGAATGAACTTTTCTTTGATGTCACCGACGATGATCTCAGCACCTACCCGACCTGGTCAGGAAAGTCGCTGGTCACACCCCGTATTTCGGGTCTGAATCACACCGAGTCTATTCGCGCCATGTCGGACATTGGTATCACATCAGCCGTGGGAGATAACTCGCGACTTGATCTGATGCCTGATAACCCTTGGCATGGATTCCCTACCAAGGTAGCTGACGAATCAGGACGTCGTATTTTTGTCATCCCACGGTTCGCTACTCGAGTGTACTTTGACGTATCTCTCCCTCTACAGAGTAAGATGGAGCACGCCAGTATCTATGGCCCTAACTGCTATGGAAACCAACGCACAGAGGATGTAACATACCCCTGGAAATGCAATACTAAGACATTTAAATACACACGTGACCTGGATATTACGGAGATATTATCTATCGAGGCGTACGAAACAGGGCGTAACCTGCTAGCTTACCGTACTGACCCATACATGTTCCACCAAGCCAATATTCGGTTCTTTGAGTATCAAGGACGCGTGCAGTCACTCACCACTATGTGGATTGAGGCAGTGGCCGGCGAGTTCCTCAAATATAAGGACTTACCACTGTTTTCATTGAAACAAGATGACCTTCGCGAGTTTTATCAGCAGCGTATGAATCGCGACGCCTGCGGCATCTCAGCCAAGTGGGTGTACAAAAATAACCAACCCGTGGAACTCAAATTGACCGGCGATAAGGATTGCGAGGCCAAGCTCACACGTGTGGAGAATTCTGAATTTAGCTTTACAGATGTCGCAACAGAAGAACATTACGGGTTCGATCGCACGCGTGACATCAAAATTAAAAAGAACGCTGACACCGTGCTGACGGTCGGGCCTGCCAATGGCGATAACAAGCAGCAGGCACCACTGCCGTATCCCCCTGCAGTACGTCCTAATACTAACTACGACCGGCGTAAGGTTGCAAATTCATTCGGGGCTTTCCAATCCATGGCGGCTACAGCAGTATTCGCGCTTGAAAAATACGTCAAAGATCTGTTGGCCGAGAATTTGAAGTTCGTGGGAAAGTATAGAACTCTGACTGAAGAGGCTACGTGCCGACCAAGCGATGATAAGCTTGACGAAAAGTACTTCGCAGAATTCGACGATGTGTCCCTGCCTACAGAAGAGGCCAAGAGAAAGGACAAACAGTCCTGGTACAGAATCATGGAGGAAGAAGAAACTAAGCTACAAACAGAACTCACTGTAAGTGTCTAATGTTTTTTTATTTTGTTTGCCGTGTATACCAGGTGTTAACATGTACCTATACATATACCCTGCCCTTACAACACGAGCAGTAGTAGCTGGTTGAAGCATATCACATAACAGAACATCTGCCCTCATCCAATATTTGCCTTTAACCATTCACAGGAAAAAAGCACTGAGGTTAATGATGCGACACAAGCCGAGGTCATTGCCGTAATTGAAAAGGACATTTCCAGCTCCATCAGTAATATGGAAGACTGGGCAACTGACATGAATAAGCAGGCCTACGAAAACCTAAGAACAATCTACGAGAACTACAACGCAAAGGGTCAGTGCTAGAATACCCATGCGTATGCGAACTCATCTGTGTTGAGTCGCATGTCGATAACTGACGCGGATAAGTGCTGTGCGCTCCATGTTGGTCTCGTCGGTGGAGGCGGGATGTAATACGAGAAACAAAAATATTAAACAAAAGAAAGTATGGTAATGGGCAGAGAAGAAACAAAAGAAAAATAAACAGGCCGAACCTATTGCCATCTAAGGAAGTTTGAGATAAGGTGAACACCCATCCATAGAATCAAGCAGGCCAGCAAAGAAATAAAGAAAAAGATACACAGGAGAACAATTACTCGAAGGCAAATACGATTACAATTTAACAGGTCTCGATTTTCATACAATCATGATACTTTCGAACTTTAGAATAACTAGTTGAAAGTTCGAAACAACTACAATGACATGCTCTGTTAATGAGCCTCTCCACGCATGCTTCAATAATTGAAACCAAGCCAAATGAGGACTACTACAGAAGTAGCTAGTTTTTATGCTGTAAGGAATATTATGATATGAATTATTCCTCAAATCAGACTCGGTGGGTTCCAGAGGGTTCAAGGTTATTTGTTATCGATACGATCAGTACAACTGCCAGTACACATGTTCAGCTTGGAGTATACGCTTATATCTAATATTGATCAACCGCTAACTGCTGAGAACTTTATCTTGGAAAAATATACAAACAACGCTATGTACAAACACGAAGAATAAGTGCAAACGGGTGTGTATTTATACGAAAAATATATACACACTTGTTCTTATTTAGATCTGTATATATATGCAAGTTATCTGATACAAACTCGGCTCTGCGACGGCCAGGACTGACTGTTTATTCGGCTGCTAAGTCACGCTATCTACAAACACGAATGATAAGTGTAGCCGGGAGTACATACATACAAAAACTATAGACACACTTGTTCTTATTTGGATATATGTATATGCAAGTTATCTGATACAAACTCAGCCCTGCGACGGCCAGGACTGACTGTTTATTCGGCTGCTAAGTCACGCTATCTACCAACACGAATGATAAGTGCAAACGGGAGTATATATATACAAAAATTATGTACGCACTTGTTCTTATATAGATCCATGTATATGTAAGTTATCTGATACAAACTCGGCCCTGGGACGTCCATCACTGACTGTTTATTCGGCTGCAAAGTCTGCCATAAGCGATCGCAGCCATATGCATTGTGCCATGTTATCGTTTGCACATCCAGCGCAGCAGAATTTCTGGATATATGCTTTATTTGACACTCATGCGAGGGTCTCACAACCAGTGTTTTAGGATTCCGAAATCCGAGGTTTTTCTGTAGCTTGTTACAGTTTATAGGCTCGACTCATAAAAACCGAACCTAACATCCAAATCCCCACCCTGTTTGGAACTATCAAACTGTGTTTCCAATCAGATATTCTCGTTACTCATCCATTTGGGACCATCAATAGGTACTTGTACTCAATCACATGAACATAGGTCCTCACTTAGAGTTTAATGCGCCGATGTGTGGACTCGCTGACAATAATCCACTCCGCCACTCATGTGATTTGTTCGCCTGTTCGCGTATGCACGTGTCGGTATGCGCAATGAGCTTGATTTCTTTTCTGAGAAGTACGGCCACGCTAGCAGCGTGACGTCTCCGAGGGACCTTGTATATGTGCGTGCATTGACCTGTCCCGATAAAAATGCTCTCTGTGCACTCGTTCGCATCGGCAAGAGGTTATATGCAAAATAGATGTGGTTGCAGGGGGGGAGGGGTTAGGTATAGACGTGACCAACAGTGCGTGTATCTGAACCTTGTAGTTAAATATCCGTGCAGGAATCCAGCGCGTAATGCCATACCCTCCTTTCCGCGAAACATTTCAGATATAAATATACAGGCACACGTTACTTGTACCTCTCCTATCCCCTTCTTGCCAATGCTCCCTCGATATATCAGAAAATTCACCCATAATATCTTTCTCAACAACACTCTACTGAAGCATATCCCATCTCAACAACACTCTACTGAAGCATACCCTATCTCAACAAACTCTACTGAAGCATACCCTATCTCAACAACACTCTACTGAAGCATACCCTATCTCACCGGTATCTCCCACCTATTCCAATACTGCTTATATCTGCACATGTGCATATGGATCTGAATTCCCTCGAGGTATCCCGCCTACCACAGAAACTGCCTCAGGCACTCCTCATCTCACCGCCAACATATGTTTTCCAGATGGCGTGTATCTGCACATCTACACACGAATCAGAACTCGCTCATAGTATCGCTCCTACCGCCTTGCTTATTTGAAGAGCCTTCTATCTCACCATTGTCTCCCATATCGATATCCTCACTTCCCAACCACCAACATCTATAGGCGTGTTCGATGGCTTGCACCACCTCCACAGCCGTGATAGATATCTCGTTCTCCGCAAATACAGCCTCATCTCCATTCCTATCCTCCTTCAAACCCGCCAGTCTGTTCGCATTGAACTCATTGTAAAACCTCTTATCATTTACTTTATAGTCCACAGGCTTCCCCGCCCGTTGTCGCTCGCGCAAGTCGTACCGTATAGTCACAGTCGGTGCATTGTACATCTGTTCGAAATCCGATACTAAACTCTTCTTTGTATCAATACTATCAGCATTCCCCTCTATGTGATCTATAGTACCGTCTGTTCCGGATCCCAATACATTGGCTACAGGGTCGTCTAGGGGGTCCTCAAGGGGGTATTGCAAGGGGTCTGTATCCACCCTTATACCTACCCCAGACCCCACATCCACCCCAGCGGCACCCCTGTCTTCTATACTACCATCAACGTCAACGTTTCTGGCTTTTCATTTGCGTGTGTCTGCAATTTCGATGGCATCCACATCCGCCTCGCCCTTCCCATCGCCATTGCTATCCCCGTACGCCCGTGCCTTGATACCCACACCCACCTAACCAATAGCATCCTCATCTCCGTTATACCCACCCCCATCAGCAGCACTCTCCTCCTTCCAGCCATCTACATCCCCATTCTCTGCATGCCCCTGCCCATCGTTCTCCAGCGTCTGTGTGTCTTCTCTGTTCTTCTTCTTCTTCTTCTTCGCCTCAGTCCCTCTCTCACCCCTGCGCTGGCGTCTACTAGCACTTGCATACAGTGCGCTGTGTGTGTGATCCCGCCACACCTGATGTACCAAGAACGCACCCACCCCATCGCTGTCGTACTTCAGCTGTGAGGTCATATGCCACCGGCCGTCCGAGTTGAAGCTCCCGCACACACTCGCAATGGGGTTGTACGCAAACGGTGTGCGTGTGAAGACCCACGCCAAATGCCACAGATCCTTGTCAACCAGGCTGTACGTGCCCCAGAAACTGTACAGCGGTTCAGTCGACATCAGGGCCAGCTGGACGCGCGCAAACTGGGTGGAAGTGAATACAGCCGAGAAGAGAAGCGATCTGAGACGGGGTCAAGATAGATATGTACTTGTATATATATATATATATGTGTGTGTGTGTGTGTGTGTGTGTATTTGGCATGTGTGCTACGACTGCAATCGCAGACTAGAAGGTCTTCGACTGCGACTGTACGCGGGAGATGTGGACAACATGGCATATTGCGCACTAGCTGACTGACTGGAAAGAGACACTTGTTGAAAATAATAAAATATTGGGTGTGTCATCGGATGAGTGGAAGTACTTCGGTAGGGTTGTGTTTGTAGTTGTGCATGATGTGTTGTGTCTGGACTGTGGCTGTGCAATGGGCAAATGAACATCAGCGACAACTGTGCTTGAACGCACTGAAGTAAGGTTTAGTAAGAATGTACAACCTTTCTCTTTAAGTCTTGATAATATACGTATGAATATTAATACACCGAACGAAACCGAAGGGTATAAAATACGTATACGAATTGACGCGTAAATGTGGAACAATGTTTTTGTGTATTTAGAGTAGCATATCAGTATCATTGTGAGAACGAGATATTCTGCGTCCATTCGAGAGCGCAACACCATGCACTTGCATCTTTGTTTCACTGAGAATGTGCTCGTTCATGTGCCATTAAGTAATGAATATAACGTTGTATACAAATAAGTATGTATAGAATCATATGCCTGTATGTAAATAATCATATGTACGTATCCATATATTCACTTTATGTATGTATAATGAACATGGAAATTTATACACACACACTCATATATGTACATATATACATACAGGCATATATACATATACATATATATGTGTGTGTGTGTGCATACATGTAGATGTATACATATTATATATATATATATATATATATATATATGTGTGTGTGTGTGTGTGTATATATATATATATATATATATATATATAAAGTATATACAAACATGTGGGTGTGTTTATATGTACATATATATATAAATATATCGAAAGAATGATGTTAGTATTGCCTCTATATACAGGACTATCTATGAGCTACCTTAGCATTCAATCAGGTGTACCCTTATCTATGCAAACAAATAAACAAATCAACACTCAAATACCATACATTTCATATACTAACAAATGCTTTATACTTTACAAGTACATTCTGCATTGTCTTAGTCGTCTAGATTGATGTACTGCAATGGTGTGCAATGGTGGTGTTATATCATATATCAAACATGGAAATATGTTCAAAAATATGGCAGGCATACGGCAAGCACGGATTTGTGTATACGATACCACAATATGAGGAAATGTGTGTCTACGCAATGTCCCCTTTGGATGTACAGGAAGTATTGCGTGTAAGGATATGTACACGAAAGCACCGTCATGAACACTTATATAGTGACATACACTCGGTCATGAAACAGCGTGTGTGTGTGTGCACATGTCGTATTCATTGCTTCTCACAGGTACATGCACACATTGTTGAACAATCACAAGTACATAGGAAAGTTCTACTACTGATATAAACAACACACCATAATCCCTGTCCTCAAAGAGAAAATCTGTACTTTTAATGAGATACGTATCACAATCGAGCCACATGACCTCTTCGAGTGTAGTCTGCTCTATCACCGCAATCTTGGGCGTGCCATAGCCCTCCTTCAGATCCTCCAGAACATGCAAACATGTGATATTAGTCCCATTGCCGTTTTATATCTGACTATTTATATCCGCATGCTTATCCTTCAGTTTTAAACACGCATGGTGTGCAGGTAGCTCGCTATTAAACGATACCACCACTAAAGGCAAACTAGAGTCGAGCTCGTATAACCGCTCAGCCATAACCCCAACACCCCGGAACATGTTCACAGGCTTCCACGAACCCGCCAATTCCGATGGTACCCCCAACGGACATGACATGACAATGCCCCTAGTCTTGGGAAGCTCATTGGTCTTATCCGTGTCCACTTCAGTATCTATTAGACCACTTCTCGAAGTTGCTTTTGTATTGGACTTGGGCTTGGTTTTGGAATTGGACTTCCGAACGAGATGCCCGGCTATGATTTGCCTGTCTTCTCTGTATCTCGGTAGAGATGCATGCACAGTGTTGTCGGAGGTGTCGTCGTTGTGTTCAAGCATTGTGTTCCCATTCATATCCGACGCAGTCGCATCAGCTGTAATACCCTTAGCTATAACTTCATCACATAAATCAACGTCTAATCTATTCCCTATCAACCGGTATAGTACAGCGCTAGTAGAACCACACCCGCAATCAGCACTTGGCCACCTTTCCAGCCCAGCAAGTGTCTGAACTTGACACCCCACACATCCTTCTCTCCTATGAAGTACAATAAATTCTGGTTACCATGACTACTGCTACGTGCCTGTATCCACGGACCTGTTCCTAAGCGACCCATGTTTGGCAGTAGTAGTGATAAAGTAGTATGCTCCCGCTCGTCTACACCTGTTCTTCTACAGCTCGGATTATAAATTCATATCCTATTGCGAATACTATAAATTCATATCCTATTGCGAATACTATAAATTCATATCCTATTGCGAATACTATAAATTCATATCCTATTGTGAATACTGTCTACATCGATTCACAAGGGAACCAGTGGTGAGCCTCCTTTCATCTGCACCTGTCTATTGCGTATAGCTCAAACTATTGCGAACAATGCTACATTAGCGCTCGTGGCCTGTTTATCGCCTAGGTGGATGTGGTTGTGATCTGTTGGTCACTCTATACCGAACGTCATTCCGTTCTGGTAGGGTGGTATATACTTTTAACGTAAACGTGGCTTTTGTATGACCTTTTTATATGCGATTTGAAACGTAAAAAGCATTGATTTTTATACGTTCTAACGCTTGACCTTATCTGTGCAATCTTGCTTATCGGATTTGTATAACCATATCGGAAATATATGCATCGTGCGGAAAGTTAAATACAAAAGACCATATTGTGTAATATTTTAGAAGGTTATGTGTTTATGTATAGTATTGTGTATGAAGTTGATTCAGAAGGCTATGACAGTCGTATACTGAAAAATTCGCGCATACACCAATATACATCCAGCATATCCTCTCACTCGCTCGTCACATGTTTGTACCTGACTGAAGCCTTGCAGTTAACAACGATTGCCGTGTAGACTATACTAAAATTGCGACGGATCACGATTCCACTCAATTCGAAACAAAACATACTGCTACTGATAATAGAATAGTGTATCAACCTTTATTTATTTTGGTCTATGATTGTCGTGTGTTCGTACATCTGCACGGACGGTTTGTACTGTTCATAAATAAGCATTCCAAAACAGTTCTCACGTAAAGGTGCCACCTATGCGACATTACATTTGTTGGCTATTATAATACATATCAAAAA